ACTCGCTTAATGGTGTCCGGGGCCTTGAGGGCCAATGAGTTATCCGGCTTGATGAGGCTGTTCTGTACTTTGGCTGCATGGGCCGCGGTGTGCTCCTCAGTACGGAGAGAGCGCTCCATGTTGCCATTGACTGTAATAACGCCGCGGGGTCCAGGCATTCTGAGCTTTAAGTAAGCATAATGCGAGACTGCATTGAAGCGGGCAAAGGCGATACGTCCGAGCAGTGCGTGATAACCACTACGGAAAGGGACGATGTTGAAGATCAAGTCTTCGCTTTGGAAGTTGTCTAGTGAACCGAAGACTACTTCCAATGTTAGTGAGCCTGTGCAGCGGGCCTTGACGTCGGGTATCACTCCTTTAAAGGTGGTGTTACTAGGCTTGATTCTTGACGGGTCAATGCCCATTTTACGGACAGTGTCTTGATAGATCAAGTTAAGACTGTTGTTGCCGTCCATAAGGACTCGAGTGAGATGGTATCCGTCGATAATTGGATCGAGGACCAGAGCTGCCGAACCTCCATGACGGATACTGGCCGGGTGGTCCCTGCGATCGAAGGTGATCGGACAAGCCGACCACGGGTTGAATTTAGGGGCGACAGGCTCTACTGCATAGACGTCCCTTAGTGCGCGCTTGCGCTCCCTTTTGGGGATATGTGTGACATATATCATGTTCACTGTTTTCACCTCAAGGGGAAATTTCTTTTGTCCCCTGTATTCTGTGGGCGGGGCTCATCATCGTCCTCGCTTGGCGGCCCTTTCCCCTTGTGTTCGGTATTTAACTTACCGACCTGTTTGAAGACCCAACAATTTCTGTTCGAGTGATTGGCAGGCTTGTCGGGGGTGCCATGAATTTGGCAAGGCCGATCGAGTATTTTGTCCAAATTAGATGGACCATCTTTATTTCCTTTGAATGGCTTCTTCCGCTGACCGGATTTAGAGCCACTGAATCCAGCGTTAATCGTTGTGTCTTCAGTTTCTTCATTGTTGTTTCGACGCTTATGTTCGTTGCGTCGTGGCCTACCATTGCCGTCCCTGAGTTTGGAGGTGCCAGGGTCGCTGGTAATGTTGCTTCTATAGCCAACCAGCTGTCTTCTCCCGCGCAGAAGCGAGTCATGAGTGCGGTAAGAGCTGCCATAGACTTCGGTTTTTCCTGATCGAGGTGTCGGGAGAGCCATTCGTCGCTGACGCTGTGTTTAAAGGCCGCGAGGACTTCGGCGTCCAGACAGTCGACGATTTGGTTCTTTTTAATTAAGAACCTACTCCAGAGTTTGCAGGCTGACACTCCGGGTTGCTGGACTATATGACTAAGGTCGTCGGCATCCGGGAGCCGGACATAGGTACCTTGGAAGTTGTCTCGAAAGGCATCCTCCAAGTCTTCCCAGCTACCAATACAGTTCTCTGGTAGGCTGTTCAACCAGTGCCGTGCCGGTCCTTTCAGCTTTAAGGGGAGGTAATTAATGGTGTGGAGATCGTGGCCGCGAGCCATGTGAATATGAAGGAAATCCTCAATCCATACCGCGGGATCTGTCGTTCCATCATATGATTGGATGTTTACGGGTTTAAACCCTTTTGGAAATTGGTGCTGCATTACCTCATCTGTAAAGCACAAGGGGTGTGCGGCGCCTCTGTATCGGGCAACGTCACGACGGAGGTCGGATGACATCGTGTTCGGTTTTCAGCCCGAATTCAGTTATGCTTATCGCGCCAAGCTTGAAGGCCATCATCTCTCGTTGGGGCGCGTCCCCTTGATCCGTAGATTGATCTGGTCTGGCCGGCTCTATTGTCCAGGGCCTGATGTAAGTCATAGGTGTAGCCCGGAGCCTCTACCTCTTTGCCTCGACGGCGAGGTGGCACGGGCTGGTGTTCGGCGTAACCAGCCAATCTATCATGCCCACGTGGTGGCCAGTCTGGTTCATCAGCATGATTATATCTTGACGGTATTGGCTCAAGGGCGTCGTTGTTGAATTGTGGCAGTAGCCGACGCTTCGGATAACTCTTTGTTGGGCGCTCGAGGCCGTATTCCTCGGCAGCAAGGACATGGGTCCATCTATCGTTGAGTGTATCCTGTTCGGCTTGAAGCTGTTGCCATTTCTTCTTTAGGCTCCTCGCAATTGCGATGAGCTGTCGCTTAAAGCGTTCTTGCTCGAGGGGTTCCTCTGGCATGATGAAGTCTTCGTTGCCGAGGCTGACTTCCTCCTCGGAGGCCGGTAAATAGTTATTGTCCTACGAATCCTCATTCTCGCCAAGTTCGTCTGGGTTGACTTGTCTGTCTTCCCAATCATCCTGCTCTACGGTAGGCTGGATGGGGTGGTCAGAGTCTTCGGCATTCTCCGGAGTGTCATTGTCTCCGATGCTGGTATTACTTTCTTTTTCCCGCCGCGATCGTGAACGGCGCCGCTGACGTCGACACTTCGGTGGTACCTCGACGGGCTTGTCGTCGATCGGATCCTGATTGCCATCGTCGTCCTCTTTGGGTGTATCCACCATGTACACGTCGTATGTAGAAGTGGCAGTACAACGTCCGGTGATAGGCGGGTTTTGGCCTCGTTCTGCTCCGGCATCGTCGTCCATACCGTCGATGTCTTCAGAGGTGTAATCGAGCATGTCGGTTAATTCCTCGGTAGTGGCTACCAAGTGGGTGGTGGGTGGGACGTAAAATTCCCCGCACTCAGCCCCTAGTTCGGGTTGTGCGTAATTCAGAGGTGATACCTCCATGATGGCGAGAGATCGCATTAAGTCCAAGGCCTCGCTTAGGAGTGAAGGCCGGACGGGGAACTGAGGTCCTGCGGAGCTAGGCATGGTACATGACACATGGCCGTGCTCAATGGACGCGGACCTTGAGAGTTCGGAGTTAGCATCAAGAGGCGGATTTGGCTCTTCGATGACAGGAAGAGTCCTGCTTAACTCCAAGCTTGTCGGAGACGCAACAGCCTCAGGGTCTCCGGCAAAGAGCTCCGTAACAGGAGAGAGTCCGGTTGGTTTCAGACTCCCATCTTCGGATGAGGTGGCCTGCTCTGGATCTATGGCCACGGCAGGGATGATAGTTGGTCTTTCAGCGGTGCCCGATGACGGATCCGATGGGTTTCCGTCTTGGAGATGAGGAATAGTGGTCGAGGTCGTGAACCCTTCAAAGATCAAGTCTCCTCGGATATCAATGACGTAATTCAGGCTCCCGAATCTGATTTGATGACTAGGGGCGTAGCTGTCGATCTGTTCAAGGCGACCAATTGAATTGGCCTGAAGAGCGAAGCCGCCGAATACAAAAATTTGACCGGGGAGGAAGATCTCCCGGGAAACAGCATCGTTTTTTATGATCGAACGAGCTATCGAGCCTTCTGCCGACGACACAGTGGAACTCTCGATGAAAGCACCAATGTCGGTGTCAAAACCGGCCGATCTCGGTAAGGGGTCTCGAACTGTGCGTCTGAGGATCGAAGGTAACAGGAGACAAAGGGGGACACGATGTTTACCCAGGTTTGGGCCCTCTTAATGGAGGTAAAACCCTACTTCCTGCTTGATTAACTTTGATGAGTATAGGGGGTTAGAAGAGTTGGTCTACCATGAGATCGTAATGGCTAAACCCTAGATGTCTAGCCTATATGAATTCTGATAGCCTCAATGGACTAAACCCTCCGGTTCATATAGACACCGGAGGGGCCTAGGGTTGTACAGAGTCGGTTTACAGAGGAAGGAAACTATACATCCAGACGCCAAACTTGCCATCCACGCAAAAGGAGAGTCCTATCCGGACACGGGGGAAGGCCTTCTATCTTGTATCTTGACGGCCCATCTGTCTCGCTCTCGCCCATATCACACAGCCCGGTCACCCGAGGACCCCATAATCCAGGACTCCCTCACCTCCCAAACTCCGCGTCGACGCTGGAGCAGACGTCGTCGCAATGTCGAAACCCGAGGACACACGTCCACCACGAGGATGCCGCCGCCACACCATCCTTGTTTGAGCAGTCTGGATTTCAAAACCATCCCCAATGATAGGACCAATCGTCTCATTAGAGTAGGATCTGAAGAAATTTTATTCAGCACCACCATCGCCGCCGCCAAAGCCAAGACAATGAACAACCTAAAAAACTAAGCTACTTTGGCCTAAAACTATCCACACGCGTGGATTCGGCAACCCTCCTCACCGCCGACGACCGAAGTAGTCGACAGAGGGGAGCCGTCGGAGAACTACGGCGGAGCGCGAGTCCCTGGCGGCGGAAAGCTAGATCGCTTTTCCTGTCTTTGGGAGGAAGATCACATGATTCTAATTTTAAAACCACGGAATGTCCTAAGATTAACAAAATCATATTTAAGATGTATTATACACCTGTATCTCCATGTTTTTTTCAACGAACATGCATAAATGAAAGTATGTATTTTCAATAGACGCAAAATCTCTTCTTGAAAAGAAAGATCACAGAATCTGTCAAGAATTTCCTTTTTTTTTGTATTTACCATATTTATATAGACAAATTGCCCTTAATCAATTGACGGCCATGATTAAATTATCCTCGTACCCCCCTCTTAAAATTTCTCATCCTAGCGAGTTGATTCGCTCAAAGAAATGTTATATATTCACTACGCCTTTTCAGCACAGTTTGCTACATGACACATAAGTGTATAAAATGCAATATAGGTAGTTCATACCAAGCTGTAGATTTGCTTCAGAAACAATTCAGGCACACATGAATACAAGACGGTTTATCTTATCGACAATCCAGACTATAAAACCATGCTGAGTTACTCTTCAAGTCTGAAGTACAAGCAGGGATTACAAACTATATTGCCACTTTATTTAGTCGATCATTCAGACGAGGAAAAGCATGTCGAATGCTGTTCCAGGTCCAAAGTACAAGCAGACATTACATACTATATGACCACTCTTTATTTGGTCGATCGTTCAGACTAGAAAAGGGACGCTCAATTTTTTTGTCCGAAGTATAAGCAGACATTAGTGAAGCTACATACCCCCCTTCTCCCAGTACCAGCCATCTCATTATCTCAAGGTGCCTTGCAGGGCAACTTCGACATCATATTCGCGGCTTTCTGCAGATGTGAAAGAAAAAAGGAATAAAATGCTTAGAACGATCTGTCAAATTCAGAGCCAGGAGCATGGTAACCTTATGGGCTAAACATAGGACAACTGCTTGAATTTGTGTAACTATGTCTCTTCATTCAGCAGTTATCTATAACTAAGATTCGCTGATAGTCATACAATGGGACAAAATGTACTAGGAACTAGGAACTGGTAGCACTTGAAGCAATTAAATAATCCTTCTGAGACAGGCAGGCCCTGGGCACTCAGGGGTCATGGAAATCTTATCTTTGGTAAATTTGTAAATTTTAGCAATTTCAAGCTGGACTCAGGGTGTTTTAACTTAGCTTCTCTCTACACTACAATGGCCCTCAGATTAGGTTGAATCTTGGCTTCGAAATAGCACTTATTTCAGTATATGCATGAAAATGGGTTATCAGGAACATAGAATAGGATGAGAACGCCTGAAGAAATTACAAACCTGTTCAGTGTGAGGCAGATACTTCCCATCAAATGTGAGCACCACACGGTCTTTTCCATCAGCCCCTTTAACTTTGTCGACGGTACAGTAGAAGTCTATAGCTGACATGCTGCAATTGAAAGTGATAAGATAACAAGTGAATTTCTCAAGGACTGTTATTTGTCATTTCATTGATTATGCAATGAAGTTTCCAGAAATGAACATCATATTTGGATTTAGAATTGTACACATGTGAGACAGTTTGGAAAGTATATTGATGTTCTAGAAACAAAAGCAAAATCTTGAAAGAATCCAAATCATCTGAAATTCCACACTTGTTAAGTTTCAGGTAAAGTTACTAATGCACACGCAAAATAAATCGAACAAGCAATGATTTGTCTAATATCAAATATTAACCAGAAAATAATGTAAAACTCAAATTTAAATAGGTGAATCTTCTTACATTCCATCACCAAAGTCCTCATTGATGATTGCCTTGATGCTCTCTCCAAAATGCATGATAGCTTCATTCAGTCTGTGTTCAACCATGAAACAGCCAGTGAGGAAAAGTCCTTATGGAGTAGTAAGTAGCATTGCGGCAATTTCCCTTCCGGCATGCCCCAATCCAGCCACAATCTCTTTCCCATTTGACGCCAACAAGTTGTTATCTTGCTTTATCATATCGTGGGCTAAAGTTGTACTGAAAAAAAACAGCAGTGGCAAGAGTGGCACCTGTATATGGCGGGCTCGTGGACCATTTCAGGGTTGTACGAGCGGAAGGGCGGCTGCATCATGAGTTCCACGAGCTCTTCGGTGAGCGCCGGGATGGCCGCCCGCAGCGCGGCCGCCGTGTCGGGCTTGAGCTGCGCCTGGCGGCGCAGCAGCTGCGCGACGTACACGTTGGTGAGCCCCGTCTCGGCCCCGATGTCGGAGAAGCTCTTGCCGGACTTGGCCTTGGCCGCCATCAGCTTCTGCACCGCCGCCGCTCTCGCGCCGCCGTCCTCCATGGCCGCCTGCGTCGCCCGGGATGTGCTCGACGGAATGGCGAGGTTGGGAAGCGTAGGAGTGGGAGTGCAAAGGACGAAGGAAGGGAGTGATGGGAGTGAACTGGCCCCGGTTGCGCCGGCTTATATGGCCGCGCCGGATATGCCATCGGGCATGGCCGCATGGGGTGCCGCACCAGCACCACGGCGGCTAAGCGACGGGGAATGTGTCGGCAGTGAGTGGCGGCACGCGGCGGCTATGCGACGGGGAAAGCACACGGCGGGGGTCCTGCTACAGTCACCGGCACGCGGCGGCTAAGCGATGGGATGTTTTGGCACTGGGCCGGCGAATAAGTGTTTCATTGGCCCGGTCCAGCTGAGTTCTCTATGGGCCGGTGCGGTCCACTCTGGGCCTTTATCTTGCCCTACCCCGTCACTCTCTCGCCCTGGCTGTGGCTGGGACTGGAGCACTCATCTCCGCGGCGCCGTGCGGCGTTCTCCGTTCCTCTCCGGCCCCTCCAGCCTCCGTCACCTCTCGCCGCCGATCAGCAGCGCATTAGCTTGGGACCTCGACCCAACCCTCCTCCGGGTGACCTCATACCATCGTTTTAACCCTCTCCGGGTCTTTTCCGTCGGCACCGCACGCCATGCGCGCCGCTTGTTCGCGCAAATGCCTGGCCGAGCTGCTCGGCCGCCTTGGCCAGGTCCAGGCGCAGGGCCAACCGCGCTGCCCCTCCCAGCTATCTCCCGCGCGCTCCATGACGCGCGGCCGGAGCGTGAACGAGCGGAGCAAGAAGAAGCGGGTGAACGACCTCGAGGTGGTCATCGAGCGCTGCAAGGTGGTCTCCAAGGTGCTCGCCGTGGTGGACGCGCTCAAGATGGAGGAGGAGCACGTCACCCCTCTCAAGCGCCTCGAGATCCTGCGCCCGCAGCTCGGGCTCGCCAAGCCGCACAAGGTAGCCCACTTCGTGCACAGCTCGCCGCAGCTCTTCGAGGTCTGCCGTGACAGCCGCGGCGTCATGTGGGCCGGCCTCTCTCCGCAGGCTGAGGCGCTCGTTGAGGAGGAGGCGCGCCTGCTGGAGGAGCACTCCCCCACGGCTGCGGAGTACGTGACCAGGCTGCTCATGATGTCGGTGCAACGGCGCCTGCCCGTTGACAAGATCGCGCATTTCCGGCGTGACATGGGGCTTCCTCATGATTTCCGGGCACGGTGGGTGCACTTGTTCCCTGAGCTCTTCAGGTTGGTCACACTGGAGGATGGTGACTACTTGGAGCTTGTTTCCTGGAACCCAAACTGGGCGGTCACTGAGCATGAGAAGAATATGGCAGCATTGGCCGGTAACACCAATGCCATTTCCAATGCTAGTACACCAGGAGAGCTCTCACTTCCATTCCAGATGAAGTTCCCACCAGATTTTAAAAGTTACTACAAATTTAGAGGAAAAGCTCATCACTATGTGAAAACCGGCAATACCGAGCAGTTTCAGAAGACAACCTACCTGTCCCCTTATGCAGAGGCAAAAGGTTTGACGCCTGGATCTCATGAGTTTGACAAGAGGGCAGTCGCGGTGATGCATGAGATACTGAGCTTCATGTTGGAGAAGAGGCTGGTAACTGACCACCTGACGCATTTCCGTCGTGAGTTTGTTATGCCACAGAAGCTGATGAGGTTGCTACTGAAGCATTATGGTATCTTCTATGTGTCTGAGAGGGGGAAGCGGCTGAGCGTGTTCTTGACAGAGGCATATGATGGGACAGAGTTGATAAAAAAGGCTCCGCTGGTAAGGTGGAGAGAGAAGGTTCTTCGACTTACTGGTTACAGAGGAAAAAACAAGAATATTGGAAAAGTTCATGAGTCGTCTGATTCTGAGCACATTTTGTTCGATGCGAGCTCATCAACATGTGACAGTGGTAGCAGTGATGACGATGATGCTGATACTATATTGCATGTCGAAAGTGAAGATTCAGATGATTTCTTGGATGATGGCACTCTTACAGATGATTGTGAGATGGATGACGCTGGGGTGGGTTTTTTCTAGTGAGAAACATGTTGAGATGGTTTTAGGAGATGTAAGTGATTATGCAGAGTCAGTGAAATCCAGTTAGTAGCCTACTAGCCTAACATAATGAACATTAAGCTCATAAGCGAGCAGGAAGGTTTCATATGTGAGCTTGTTTAGGTTTTCCTTGGCTGATGTTGATGATATTGTGGTCAATGATCCAAACATGGCTGGATATCCTGGAAAGTCAACGCTGCAGGATCTCATAACATATACCCCCTGTCTTGGATCAACCATGGTGATGCTGTTGTTTACTACCTGATGTCGAAGGTGGACTTTGAATACCGGTAAGCATGGATGATTGGCATTGATATGAAAACAAAGACTCTGCAAGGGAGTGGCCTTGCTTTCCACCGATAAATCCCTCAATTCCAGTCCTGCCTACCATGCATGTTCACTCTCTGGATATCTGGACAAGACTTCAAGTAATTCTATTGGGGGTTACTCTTTACAACGCCGGTGCTCGTAGGAGTGCCTGCTCTTAGTCCTTTAGTTGACTGTTTTTTCAGTTCATGTATCAGTATTGACGTATTTGGGCTGGAATATTTTGTTCTGCACCGTTTGTGGTCGTTCATCTACTAGCGGTGGAACCTGAGTAGGAACCATGTGTTTTAATGCACATTTGCATGTATGATAATTTGATCTCAACCAGACTTGCCATAACAGACGTAAGGTTAGCCATATCCTATTGCTGTAAAACTGCCTGCATCCAGTGATAATTCCGTGCTCATTAGTGTAGTTTTTCACTTTTACTGGTTGGCAGACACTAATGCTAAGTCTTCAGTCGCACTTGTATTTCTTATTTTTCTACATTTCAACTTTATCCACGTTTGCAAAATATTCGCATACAGTTCTTTTCTGCTACAGCTGAGCATAATACTTTGCTTACTTTCCCCTCTGCAAAAAAGGGCAACTCGTTGTGCCCTTATACCTCCTACAATCTACAGAAGGGGCATTTGTTAATGTCCTTTGTTAATTGCAATTCTAATTGTTGGTATGGTACATAGGTATCTCTTATGTGTCTCAGACAAGGCAAACCCCTAAGCGTGTTCTTGACGGAGGCATATTATGGGACATACTTGATTAGAAAAAAGGCGCTGTTATTGCGGTGGAAGGAGAAGGTCTTTAACTTACTGGTTATAAAGGACATAGGAAGAATAGTACAAAATGTTATGGATCGGCTGGTTGAGCAGGACTATTTGTTTGGTGCTTGTGGATTGTGGTGGACTGGTGATGATGATGATGCTATACTGAATCTCAAAAGTGATAAGCCAGATGATGTCTTGGATGAGGGCACTCTTTCGGAGGATGCTGAGATGTATAAGTGTTATAGCGGGTTTTAGCGGTTACACAGAGTGAGTTAGTGAAATCCGGTTAGTAACCCAATATAAAGAACAATTTTCTGTTTTAGTCCTGGACATCAAGCCCTTAAGTGATTCTGACAATTATTTCGAAATTAGGGCTATGGTTGGTTTCTATCTTGATGCTTAGGTGTACATATTATATTCACCTTGCTCATTACTTGGAGACTTGGTGTCTGACATGCTGTCCCAAGCTTGAATACAGACTGGATATTTCAGGCTTTCATTGATTATTTCTTATGCTGATCTACTTGTTCTGCTTTTTTCTTCGAAAAAGACCATTGTGGTGAATATTCCTCAGCACATCGTGTACTGAAGATATGACATTATCCAAGCAATCTACCGTGAAGCGAGCCCTGTCCTTTTCTGACTTCAGCAATCCAGGGATGGATTCAAAATTCTGGTATGTACTAAATATTTCTGTGTCAAGTAAGCAATTCTTAAACAATGTCTTCACGCATCAGCAGTAAGAACATGTTAATTCAGTTTGCAAAATGAAATCTTCAATGACATTGTGATTTGCTTACACTACAATTGTATTGAGCAACAAGGCTATAGCAAATGGCACAGAAAAAATCTATATAGGGGGCAATAAAAGTTGAGACCACATTCTCGTGTACATGCATCTTCTCCTCATTTTGGGCGTTGAAACAACTTAACAGTTGATGTCAAGATCTTCCTCTTGAGCCAATAGTTCTAGTCAGTGTTGAGCTTGAGCTCAAATGTTCATTGGCGAATCCCAATTATAGACTGAAACTCCATGTGTAATCTTTCTAAGCCTCATTATATGTAATCCATGTTGTTGTGGCTATGGTTTTGCCAGAGTTTATATGTTTTGTTAAGTGCACCCTGCCTTGTTGGTAAGCAACAGCCTGTAATATTAGGTGTATTTCATGAGTTGTTTGGTCCCCTTGATTTGTTTCTGTTCTTCTGTTAGTTGGTCTCTTGCACTGTACATTGTACTCCACTGTCCATCCCGTTACTGCGAGAAAGTCGTAAATAGAAGGGGAAATACATCACCTATCAAAATTAGTTTTGCACTGCCTGTGTACAGTTTCAGCAATTTGGCTAAACCATGGTCATCTTTTGCGAGTTGTGATATGCCGTCTCACACCGGCCAGCAAATCCTTCTCGATGCCAGACATGTCATGCTACTGTTTTGGCCATCTCTGGCCCAAGCATGCTGGTTATCCTATATGTGGCATGCATGTAGCTGAAAGGAATCTACTTACCTACCTATATGTGTCAAGATTAAGCAACAAAACAACAAACAACAACAACAACAAATTAACAAATGATATCAAGAACTTTATCTTGATCCAATACTTGTAGCCATTCCTGAGCCTGAGCTCAAATGCTCATGACGAAAGTGTAGACTCCAGCTCCTTGAGAAACCTTTGTAAGCCCGATTATTTCTATGCTGTTGGTGCTACAGCTTTGCCAGAGTTGATGTGTTGTATCAAGTACACACTGCCTTGGTTGTCAGCAACAGCCTGTAAAACTATTAGCCGTATATTTCAGGAGTTATTTGGTCCCCTCAGTTTGCTTTGTTCTGCTATCGAGCAAGTCGTAAGTTCTACACTATACATGGTATCGACCTTTTTGTTTTCCTTTTCTTGTTAGAAAGAGTACATGGCACACATATTGTTAACAGCTTCAGCAATTTGGCTAAAGTGTGGGTACCTTTGAGTCATGGTATCGACTGGCATGTTCCGTTTCGTCTTTCCTCTATGATGATATGACATCTCTCTCTCACACACACGCCATGCTGCTACTGTATTGGCCATCTCCTGCCCAAGCATGCTCGTTAATAAGTTAGCGAAGGTAGTACTGTTTTTGCCTCTAAAAAAGGGGGTACTGTTTTGTGCTGGATGTAGCTGAAAAGAACCCACTTACCTACCTATACATGTGTCAAAATTAAGCAACACAAGTACCGCCATTTCTCATGCTAGCCTCAAGATGGAAAGAAGAACAGCTGTAGCGTGTACATACAGATCCAACTGATTCTTGCTGATAATTTACACATCGTTGGTGCCATTGATAAGCACCTATATCCCTGACAGAGTGTGTTGCCTTTGATTATCTTTTTTGTCAGGGAAAAATATCACCGGCCGGAAGTATAGTGCATGGAATTATTCATTCATCCACCGCCACCACCACTGGCTCTGGCTCTGTGTTGCTCCGAGAAAACATGCTCACATGGCGATCAGAGGGCCGGCTTAATGCGAGCACATGGGCCTAGTACGTGCACGGCCGGCCTCCCCCGGCACGAATTTATTTCCTGGATGGGTGCAACCATGAATGTTCTTACCGCACTGCACAACGCGGATCTGCCCATCCAACCGGCCACACCAGACGCGTATTGGGATGGCGCCATGGCAACGGCGGTACCGCGGTCGGTTCATCGCATCGCGTGAGACCAGCGCGGTTCATACGGGTTGATTATGGGCCTCACGCCACCTCACCAGTTGAGGATCGTTCCATCATTTTCTCCATGGTTTCTTGTTGGAAGTTGGAAGTGGCTGCAGCCTCCTGCTGGAGTGCGGGGCACTTGCCGGAAAACGGCATTTGCAAATTGCAGCAATAGGAGGAGTGTCTGCGTCCGAAAATACCCAAACCGTTCGTGCTAATCCCTTTAATTTGGTGCCTCTTGATTGATTGGATCGTAGGCCGTGGACTGGTGGTCGAACTGACGGTGACAGGATTTCTTTTCTTTTGAGTGCGTGATGGCGAAATGCGGGCACAGATCGTGGTCATGGGTTTATGAGAAAGGGAGAGGATCGAGTTTTCTAGTTATGTTTCCAAGTCCAGCTCCCAACGGCGCACACACACATATACGCATGCACTATACTGGTATATGATCAATCAAATTATTAAATGGATTTTGGTAGCGAGAAAGTAGTTAGCCGTTGCTGACCAAGTTCAGGGTTTCGTCGAAAACTGTTGCTTTTGGTTTGGAAAATTGTACGCAGGCCTTGACCATTTCAAAATTTGTGAATAATCGATTGGGCATGCATGGGAATGCATTTTCGTGGACGTACGGGGACTAGTGAAGATGCATGGGTTGGCGCCAGAAGGCTAGACCTGGTTCGCTGACAATGGTGCTGCATGCATGCATGCATGTAGGCTGCTACACCTAATAAAGAGGCCGTCCATGAAATGAAATGGATCTGATCTGCTGATCCGGCCGGCCTCTTCATTCTGCCATCACGCTTCACGCAATCAATAACGTCCGCTACAGCTATAGCCCGCTGCGCAAATGCCAGATCCAATCCACTTCATCTTCATCCCAGTACTCCTCAAATCAAAACATATAAAAAAAAACAGATCACCCCATAAACACTAAAATTAAAATTAATACAGTTCCCTATAATAAAACGCATATATATTCTGTTATTTCAACGGCCAAAAACTCTTTAATCGCACACAGGCAGGCAGACTCCAAATGCAAAACGCATGCAGCTGAAGCGTGCCACACACAGGAAAGCAATCACCTTGCACATTTTTCTCTCCCGAGCCGTTGCCCTTGCACATGCTGTCTCAAAAGCTACTTGGCTTCGTGCTCCGGGACAGCATGTCAGCCTCACAGCAAGAGGGAGATCATGTATGTGTGTCCATGACCACTTGACCATGCATGCATGAACAGTCTGAACACCGAACACCATGCCCCCAAGCAAGTGAGCTTCTCTTCCCTCTCTGGCCTGGCTTGGCTTGTGCTCCCTAATGGCATTAACTGCCACCCAACAACCCGCCCACCCACCATCTCCTCCCCAACCCCAACCCCAGCAGCAACGCCACCATCCCTAGCTATATCTAAACACTGAGCACTCCACTCCCTCTCACCCTCATCACCACTGCCCACCACCAGTCCCGCCCGCCCCCAGCTGCCCACAGGCGCCAT